CAAAGTACAAGAAATTTTATGTACCAGTAACAAATTTACGATATTTATACATCATAGAAGGCCAAGAACTCTTCATTGTTGCAAGTTCATAGTAAGTTCAACAAAAACAATTATTGTATTCAGTGTATTATTTTGCATACAAATATCATTACTGATTTCTAGGGTTACACTTTTAACACATAAGCATAAATAAAATAATTAAAAACATTTATATAGATACAGAATTAGTACTACCTAAGTATAATGTGCATCCTTATTTTTCCCTCACAAATTGGGGCAAAAAAAGTGTGCATTATATATGGCAAAATATTGTATTTTATTTCTCTTTCTTATTCTCCTCTTCCCCCTCCCCCTCATCTCTTCTTCTCCTTCTCCTTCTCTCTTTTCTTTCTCTCTTTTTAAACTTTGTATAATAGAAAAATTTGAATATACCCAAAAGTTGACAGAATAGTGTAATGCACTCCATGTATACATCATCCAGCCCCAAAAACTATCCACCTATGGTCAATCCTGCCCCATCCACCTCCTCATCCAGTTTCCCCTTCCACCCCTGAGTATTCTTTTGAAATAAATCCAAGACAAGCAGTTTTCTGCACCTGCCCGCCAAACCTTAGAAGCTTATATAGAGGCCCTAACTGAATTTAGTCACATACACAGCCAGATAGTCTCAGCAGCATCTTACTCTCTCAAGGCTATGTCCTTGGAACAGCTCCCATTTGTGGGAATGGGAGGCAGAGTGTACATTCTAGGGACAGGAAAGGGTGTGGAGGGGCCTCCAATTGCCCCAGCCCAGTTTGCAGATCAATCGGCAGTCACATCTTCTCAATGATCTCCCCCAACATGTGGCAGATAAAGAGAGATATGAAGTCAAGAGAAGATTGGTTTGTTATTAATCTGACATATATTAAAGCATATTTGTATGTTGAAAAACCCAGGGAGAGGTAGAGATTAATCATTTAGGAGAGAGAGAGAGAGAGAGAGAGAGAGAGAGAGAGAGAGAGAGAGAGAGAGAGAGAAAATAAAACTAACATTAGAATTCATAGCAGCATTGTTCATAATACAGTGGTAACAACCCAAATGAACAACAACTGATGAATGCATAAGCAAAATATAGTATATCTATGCAATGGAATGTTACTTAGACATAAAAAGGATGAAGCATGATACATGCAACAACATGTGTGAACCTTGGAAACATAATGCTAAGTGAAAGAAGCCAGTCAATGTCACATATAGTATGATTTCATTTATATGAAATGTCCAGAATGGGCAAATCCATAGGGACAGAAAGTACATTGGTGATGATGGGGGACTTAAAGAAAGTAGAAAGTAACTGCTAATAAGCATAGAGTTTCTTTCTGGGGTGATGAAAATATTCTAAAATAGATAATGGTGATGGTTGCACAACACCACTGAATTGCATAATTTAAATGGGTGAATTTGTGATATGTGAATTGTGAATTATGAATTATATCTCAATAAAGCTGTTACATGAGAAATCAAGAAGGTGATGGTGATGTAATATAGATATAAAGAGAGACTGACCCTTGACAGGAGTAACAACATAGTCTCCTTTGTAATAAGGGAGGAAAGATGGAAGAAAATGCAGATGATCTGTAGGTCTTGTGATAGAAATGAAGAAGTTTATGTCTGGATTTCCAGTCAAGCTGGCAGAGTAGGCAAACGCTGTGCTTACCTCCTCTCAAGACCACATCAATTACAATTAAACCACAGAGCAACAGTTTTTGAGAATCTCCTGAAGTCTAGATGAACTGAAACCCTACAACTATGGACATACAGAAGAGGCCACCTTGAGACTGCTAGGAGGGGCACAGACACAAAACGGGCTGGTCCCACACCCATGTATGACCTTTAAAAATCAGGAGAAGGGGCGGCCGGTTGGTTAGAATGCGGTGCTCATAACTCCAAGGTTGCCAGTTCCCACATGGGCCAGTGGGCTGTGCCCTCCACAACTAGATTGAAAACAACAACTTGACTTGGAGCTGATGGGTCCTGGAAAAACACACTGTTCCCCCAATAAAGTCTAAAGAAAAATTGGGATAGATATCTTGGCTGAGGAGGTCCCCCCCTGAGGAGCGAGAGGTCCCAGCCCAGTCCCAGCCCAGGATTCCAGTGCCAGGGAGAGAAGTCCCCATAATGTCTGGCTGTGGAAACCAGCAGAAATTGTGGCTGAGTGAGATGAAGGGCAGCTGCATTCCCAGATGCTCCTTTTAAAGAACCCATGCATGGACTACTCACTAATGGACTCACTTGCTCTGAGCTCCAGTGCTGGGGCAGCAGCTCGAAAAGTACCAGGGACATAAGGGCAAGAACTGAGTTGTTGTCTGGCTTCAAGATGAGGGCTGTCTGGCTTCAGGATGAGGACTGGAGGGGCAGCTTTCTCCAGAATAATGAAGCTGGTGGAAGCCATTGTTTCTTTGTTGAGCCCTCCCCCTCCCTGCGTGCAGATGCAACAGACACCATATCTGAGTCTCCATCAAACTGGCTATCAGTATTCATCTGCCCTGCCCTAGTGATTCTCTGAGACCACGCCCCACCCAACTTTCAGACACACCCAAGCCACTTCCAGTGGCTTTTCCAAATAAACAACCTGCCACTTGGCCGGCCCACTAACTTTTTTTTATATCAAAGGGATTATTCATTATGAATTTGTATCAACTCAACAAACAGTTAACCAAGTTTACTATTTGAAAGTGCTGGGCTGGCCGAGTGGCGCGATGGTTAAGAGCTGGCTAGAGACGCCAGAGGGCCCCGGTTCGGATCCCACATATGAGGGCCAGTGACACTGCCCTCTACAGCTAAGATGCTGAACAACAGCTCAACCTGGAGCTGGGCTGCCGGGAGTTGCCGGCGACGGCCTAGGCTGCAGCCCCTGCTGCAGTGGGCTGCCATGGGCTACCGTGTGTAGCCAGCAGCCAGCATGAGCGGCCAGCAGCCGCAGTGAGCGGCCGTCCAGAAGCCGGCGACTGATCTGCCTCGCCCGGGAAAAGCGCAATGATGGTGCCAACTTGGGCCAGTGAAGCAACGTCCTCCACAACTAGACTGAAGAACAAAAGTATAGCAACTTGTCTGTTCCCCTTCCCCCAATTCCCCAATAAAAATCTTTAAAAAGAAAGTGCTGAAAAGACTGCATGAAAAAGTTAGACGAAAACAACCTGACCTTTTGCCAACAATTCATGGCTCATGAATCATGACAATGCACCAGCTCACACGGCACTGTCTGTGAGAGTTTTTAGCCAGTAAACAAATAACTGTATTGGAACACCCTCCCTACTCACCTGATCTGACCCCCAGTGGCTTTTTTCTTTACCCTAAGATAAAGGAAATATTGGAAGGAAGATATTTTGATGACATTCAGGACATCAAGGGTAATACGATGACAGCTCTGATGGCCATTCCAGAAAATGAGTTCCAAAATTGCTTTGAAGGGTGGACTAGGCGCTAGTATCAGTGCATAGTTTCCCAAAGGGAGTGCTTCAAAGGTGACCATAGTGATATTCAGCAATGAGGTATGTAGCACTTTTTCTAGGATGAGTTCGCAAACTTAATTGTATAAATATGTATGCATATGAATCTAAATGTGTGGTGTGTATGTTACCTGCTTATTCACAGATTATCTCCATCTCCAGAAGGATTCACAAGTAGTTGGTGATGTGATATCCAGCGGCTCCAGAGAGGGGATCTGAGTGGTTAGGAGACTGGGGTGGAAGACAGAACTTTCCCTGTATTCTCTTTTGTACCTTTCAAATTTTGTACCATGTGAATGTTTTACCTTTTCCAAAAATTGTTTAACTATTCTTTTAAAAATGAAAAAAAAAAAACCTTCCCAGGATGGATTTTAGCAAATGCTTTTTCTGCATTTATTGATATGACCATATGATGTAAATTTTTAGGCTATTGTAATTTCCCTCTTGTATAATGCCAAGTTGCTGATATTTTTTTCTCTAAATAAAATTTCCTTTGGCCCTTGTGCAGCTGGTATGAAATCTTCAAGACTGTCAGTTTGGAGTCAATGGAATTGTAATAGATATGTATGATATTGGGGGGAAAGGGGGCGGCGAATTGGGGGAGAGGGGTTGTCACTTTGAGGGATAAAAAGTATAACTATTGCACTGTGTTGTACAGCTGAAACTAATTTTTAAAAATAATAAATTTAAAAAAAAAAAGACTGTTGGTGACCAGCTTCCGCCAAGACTCTGAAACAGGCTTCTGCCAAAAGAGAAGCCACCAATTAATCATCTGGGGACTTTCTGGTAAGTTGCCTATGACCCCAAAGTCTGGTCTCTGAGACTCCCTTGGCCTGGTCCCGAAGCCTCAGAGGTGCTGTCCTGGGCTGTGAGGACACCTATCGTAGGATCATGTGCTTCCCGTCTTACCATATTCTCGGTAGATCACACAAAGGTGGGAGCAAGGGAAGACCTTAGCAACTGTGTAAGGCCCATCCAGTCTCTCCTCATCTCCCCATTTTACAGATAAGAAATTGGAGCCCAGAAAGTAAAAAAAAAAAAACACCCAAAGAAGCAAAGCAAGTTAATATTATAGCAGAACCAACTCTAAAACCCAGATCTCCTGACTCTTCTCCACTCCGCCTTTTTCTCCTTTCTTTACTTCTATTTCTGGGACCTTCAAGAATTGGGTTTAATAATAAATGCCAGTCTGTTGAGAAAATGCCTCTCTTTTGGCCAGCGTCTGACCAATCCTTATGACCAATCAGCCTTACCCCGGGTACTCTGTTTGGATTCCATGTGGGGCAAAGCCCTGGGGATGTGCCAGGGACTCCAATCAGAATTTCCAATTTGCAGAACCTAAGGACAGAAATAGAATGGGGCCAGGATGTGCCCCATGAGTCAGCTGTGCCTCAGCATTTGGCCCATGACACTGTAATCTGATACAGATCCTCCTTTTTCCTCTCCCTTTCCCGCTCCTCTCTAAGATGATAGCACACCCTACCCTCTTTAACTGGGCAGAGTACCCTAGAACTCAGGACACACCAGCACCACCCATTCCTTCACCTGTTCTTTCATTCCACATGAAAGAGCCTATGGAGCTGTGGGACCTGTGCTCTCTGCAGGGATTCCCTACCCCCACTCCACCCTGGCAAAGAGGAAATAGCCAAGTAGGAGACAGGGAACAAAGTCCTATCACAGGGAAGGAGAGAATGTGTCTGCAGCAGCTGGACAGAGAGAAAAGGCCGGTGCCCTAACAGAAGCACCACTCAGAGCTGGTCTGCCATGGACACCCTGGTCCAACTCCTGCAGCTGCTGGTGCTGCTCCTGACCCTGCCCCTGCACCTGATGGCTCTATTGGGCTTCTGGCAGCCCCTGTGCAAAAGTTACTTCCCCTACCTGATGGCTGTGCTGACTGAAAAGAGCAACCGCAAGATGGAAAGAAAGAAACGGGAGCTCTTTGGCCAGATAGAGGGGCTTATGGGAGCTTCCGGGAAGGTGGCACTGCTGGATCTGGGCTGTGGCACTGGTGCCAACTTCCAGTTCTACCCACCTGGCTGCAGAATCACCTGCCTGGACCTGAACCCCCACTTTGAGAAGTTCCTGACAAAGAGCATGGCTGAGAACAGGCATCTCCAATATGAACGGTTTGTGGTGGCTCCGGGAGAGGACATGAAACAATTGGCTGATGGCTCCATGGATGTGGTGGTCAGCACCCTGGTGCTGTGCTCTGTGCAGAGCCCGAGGAGGGTCCTGCAGGAGGTCCAGAGAGTGCTGAGGCCGGTGAGCAAAATGGGAAGGGTGTGGGCATGAGGGACACAAAAAGGGAAAAAGGGCCACCCTCATGTCAGGGCACCCAGTGTAAAGAAGCTGGTGTCCTAGCACATTAGACACCCACCCAACTCCTATCTGCTGGTGAATAAGATATGTGACCAGGGCCTCGATGGGACCGAATAGGGTGCTGTGGAAGCACACAGGAGACCCACCTAGTGAGGGGGAGAGGAAGGAGGACACCCAAAGAAGTGATGTTTAAATTGAAATCTGAGGGATTAAGCAAAATGTAGGGAGAGTGGAAAAAATAGAGGCGAGTTCCAGGTAGATATTAGCGGAAGTAGAATCCATAAGATTTTGAACTGGAGGTAGAGTGAAAGGAGTTTAGGATGGTTTCAAGGTTTCTGGCATGAGCAACTGGGGGAGGGAGTGAGAGGGGGTAGAGGAAAGTGCCATTTGCTGAGATAGTGGAAACCTATTTGGGGCTTGTTAGGCCTAGGTGCCACTGAGACAGCCAGACAGACAAGCCACAGAGGCCACTGGAAGTCCAGGTCTGGAAGTCAGAAAAAGATGTAGCCTAGAGATACAGATTTGGGGGTCACCAGCTTGTAGCTGGTGTGCTCTGTGGGTATATGAGATCACCTAGGGAGATTACAGTTAAGAGCGAGGAAACCCAGCTTTAGTCAGGAGTCAGGTACATGGTTTCCCTGGAATGTTGGCCGAGATATCCAGGAAGCAGTTAGATGTATGTGTCTCAGGACAAAGCTCAGGGTGCGTGTCTCTGTCTACAAAGGGATCTCTGCTCCTGTTTCTCCAACTCCCTATCTGCCTACCCTTGGCTATGCTGTCCTTCTGGTCGCCCTTTAAAGATTTCTCACCAGTCGCCCCCACTCAGTCAGGGGAGGCTCTTCACACTCACTTGGAGTAGGAAGGTAGGAGCCAGGGGATCAGAAAAAGTCAAAAGCAGCACAGTTTGTTCCACAAACCCTCAGACCAGCAGCCGCCACTTCACTGTGAGGTCTCACCAGGCTGGGTCAGTGGGTGGAGGCAGGGGTGGGAAGAAAGTTGTAGAATGAGCAGACAAGTGACACTAACTCTGTCCTCTGGCAGGGAGGCATATTCTTTTTCTGGGAGCACGTGGCTGAGCCGCGTGGAAGTTGGGCCTTCCTGTGGCAGCAGGTTCTAGAGCCCACCTGGAAACACATTGGAGACGGCTGCTGCCTCACCAGGGAGACCTGGAAAGACCTTGAGAACGCCCAGTTCTCGGAACTCCAAATGGAGCGACAACCCCCTACCTTCAAGTGGTTACCTATTGGACCCCACATCATGGGAAAGGCCGTGAAATAACCCTTCTCTAAGTCCTGCCTCCAGTCAGAACAGTCCCACCTACTGGCCAAGTCTATCTTCTACTGAGAGGAATCTAGGCAGAGAGAAGCCATTACCCCACCACTTCCTCCCCCACCTCTGCCAGGGTAACCTCTAACCTCAATCCTTCCTTCCACAGTGAAAAAGCTTCAGCCCTATCCTGACCACAGGGAGGAAACAGTTATGCCCTGTTATATCCTTCCTGCCAATTCCTGGACTGGGTCTCCCAATGTTTGCCCACTGACCCCTAGGACAGCTCCCCATCCCTTTCCCTTGTTCCCATAGTAGTGTTCCCCCCTCTTTCTGAGACATACCAGGTGCCTCCAGGGTCTGTTCACAAAAGTTAGGATACAGGGCCAGCCGAGTGGCGCGATGGTTAAGAGCTGGCTTGGGATGCCAGAGGGCCCCGGTTCGGATCCCACATATGAGGGCCAGTGACACTGCCCTCTACAGCTAAGATGCTGAACAACAGCTCAACCTGGAGCTGGGCTGCCGTGAGTCGCCAGCGATGGCGTAGGCTGCAGCCCCTGTGGCAGTGGGCTGCCATGGGCTACTGTATAAGTCAGCAGCCAGCGTGAGCGGCCAGCAGCCGCAGTGAGCGGCCGTCCAGAAGCCGGCGACTGATCTGCCTCGCCTGGGAAGAGCGCAATGATGGCGCCAACTTGGGCCAGTGAAGCAACGTCCTCCACAACTAGATTGAAGAACAAAACAACAGCAACTTGTCTGTTCCCCTTCCCCCAATTCCCCAGCACTGTTCCCTTCCCCGCAATTCCCCAATAAAAATCTTTAAAAAAATTTTTTTAAATAACTTTTAAAAAATTAAATAAATAAAATTTAAAAAAAAAGTCAGGATACATGCATTGCTGCCAGGCCTCCAGACCCTCCCTCCCACTACCACTTTTGTCCTGAGAAGTGGGCAAACAGAGAGAATCAGGCCTCTCCTGGAGACCTCGGGCATGAGGAAGCAGAACTCAGCAAAGAGGCCAGAGGTTTGTCCTCAAATATTATTTTAATAAATAGACAAAATCCACTAGATTGATGCAGCAAACTAAGGTCAGAGGAGAGGGGAAACTAGGGAGGGGAGAGCCCCTGAGTCAGTGATGCAACCTCCTCCCCAACCTTCTGGGCTAAGGCACTTTCAGGGAGACAGGTCCTTGGGGTCCTGTTATATGGATGAATGGGAGAAGAAGAGATTAGGGTCCCTTCTCCCCATCTTTGCGTCAGGACATTGCTGCCTTTCTCACCCTACCCCATGATCCCACCCCTGATTTACCCCTCTCGTCTCAGCATTCTAAGGGCAAGTTTGGGGGTGCTCCTTCTGGGAGGAGAGGTCTATGCCCCTGAGGAAATAGATCCAGCCCAATCCTAATGGGACACCAGCAACCCTCTTCATCCCAAGGAGCCATCTCTGGGGAAGGGGTGGAGGGGATCCACGGGCCAGGCTGGGACAGAAGAAGCTAGGCAGTGCCTGGCCCTGAGTGCCCATCAGAGCCCAGCTCAGGGTGCCCATCGGCAGCCAGGATGGGGTGTGCGTCAGGGCCCTCCCGCCGGGGGCTGCCCCAGTTGCTCCTCAGGATGGTGCCTGTCTTCTCCTCCTTGAACTGCTGTCGGTCTTCCCGCGGGATCTTCACCGCATGGTACTGGGGCACGGTGGCCTCGGGGTACCGCGCCCGCTTGAAGAATCCCATCTGTAAGAACACCAGGCCAGACATGAGGAGCCTGCAGGGCTGAGGTGCCTGAAGCAGATGCTCAGCACAGCCCGGCATGGCTTCCACCACCCCTGGGACAGAAAGAAACAGCTGCAGCAGAAAGATGGGCTGGACAGAATCTTGAGCACTCAACAGCCCCCACAGGTGCTACCACCAGTACAGGCTCCCCAGGGTTTCATTCACGGCAAGAGAAAAACCAGGAAGGAGACCAAGGTGCAGGACCAAGGACATCTGCCTTGGCAGATGGGGTTGAAGGTTGAACATCAGGACCTCTGAACCCAAAGGTTTCCACCCGCCCAAGCTTTTTAAGAGACCCACTAGTGGCCCCAAGAACACAAATCAGATCAGAGAAAAAACATGGTTAAGCTCTGCATACTCCTCTCAAGACTCATACACATACACCCTGCATACTCAAACACTGGGCAGCATCCCCGTTAGGGCAGGGCCCTCTCTCCATGAATTTGGTAACTTAGCCCCTTCCTAAATCATGAACATGCTGGCCCTTACAAGCCAAGGTGGAAATGCGCCCCTATGTCATACAGTCACTCAGGACTGCCCAAGACTCCTACATGCCCAGACCGAACGGCATCTCCTTGCACATTTGCCTCTGCACACCCATTCCCAAGAAAAGACATGCTTGGCACTTTCCTGCAGTCCACATGCTCACACTCCAGAAGCCCACCCAACCCTTTGTGCATGCCCCAGGCTGTGTATACCCTTATAACCTCACCATTATAATTACCTCCCACCCCACTTCCTAGGACTCGCCCCACCCTCATGCATTCTCATTTCTTCACCTTGAACATTCCCGGTCCCCTGAATGCTGGGCACTCTAATACCACTCACACACAAACATATGAACACAGGCACACAATATTTTGCACACACACACATGCACACACACAACAATTACCCCACAGTCCCTGGACCCCCAGCTTCCACGGCCGAGGGTTGCACGGCCAGACGGGCCCGGTGATAGTTGGTGGGAAAAGATGAGGTCTGGCTGCTCCGACGGAAGAAGCCACACTGGGATGTCAAGGGAGGCAGGGAGCAATTGAGGGGGAGATGGAAAGACTGAGGAAGGATGGGACCTATCTCTGCTTTGTCCCGCTTCCATAGGAGCAGGAAACAGGGGTCCTGGAGCCAGTTTCACAGAGGCATCAATCTCCCACAAGAATGACCAGTTTCCCGATAGTTTGGATACTACTCCAGAGGCTTGGTCCACTGATGACTCACATTTGTCAAAGGATGTGTTTACTCTGTGATTAGTCAGGGGTGGGATGGGGTGGGATGGGGTGGAAGGGTGTTCTCCACAGAGCCCGAAGGATATGCAGGGTTCCACATAGCCCAGATGTGGCATGCAGTTCAGGGTATAACCGCTGGTGATGGATATGATTCCCTATAGTGATATATGCATGTGTGTGCTTTTATGTGATTCTGTCTACACTCTGTATGTACAAGAATAGTTCCACGAAGAGCCTGCTATGTGAAGACTCTGAGATCAGTCCTGGAGGCAGTTTCCTGAAGACAGTTCTCCACGCTGTTGGCCTTTGTAGCCAGTTTCCTTCCCAGACTTTCCTGCCATGCTCTAGTTAAATCAGACCACACTTCCCTGCCTCCATGACTCAGTCTCCCATAGTCCTTCTGGAAGGCCCAGATGCCACCCTCCTCATCTCCCACATCCAGATCCTACCACCAGGCCTTCTTCTAAGGCCCGGCTCAAGGGCCCCCAGCTCCGAAGCTTGCCCTCCTCTGAACCACCACTGCACTTTCTTCACTTAGTGCCCTCTGCCTTGTCCTTGACTACAAGGCTCCCCTCCCCCACAAGACTATCAAGCCTCTGAGGACAAGAGCTGCATCTGACTTTCATTTACATGTGGAATCTAAAAACCAAAATAAGTTAACACGCAAAACAGAAAAAACTCATGGATCCAGAGAACAAACTGGTGGTCACCAGACAGGAAGGAAGTTGGGGAAATAGGTGAAAAAAGTGAAAAAGATTAAGAAGTACAGAGGGCCGGCCGAGTGGCGCGATGGTTAAGAGCTGGCTAGAGA